TGAAAAGAAAAGTTGGAAAGCATCTAAAGGTGTGGATTCCGGAGTTAAATTTCCTTTCATTCCAGAATTTTGATCGTTAAATGCATGTATTATCGGTTTGAAGTTGGTCTTTGACCATCACAACGTTGAAAGCATTTCATTCGAATCGAAATTCTCTAAATTGGAATTTGAATTTAAATCCTCATCTGTAGAAGCACTAATTATTCTTGGCCGTTTATTTTTGCTTCTGTGACCCAACTATCGCATCATTGATGCTATTTTCTGTATCTTCCGAATAAGATATCAGTGGAACATATTGGCGCGTTTCCTGCATTTCACCATTATTAGAATCTTCACTCAAATCTGATGTTTCATCCAAATCACTGTCGTCTCTCGTAACAAATTCTTTAAAACTACTATACATTTTTAAAGTATGGATAATTGACTAAGTTACGAGGATTGATTCTGATGTAACTTATTCACGTTCACTGTAGCGGAATCGAACGACGGACTAGAATACTGTTAGAAAATAACTGTAGAGACGTGTCGAGCGAGTGCATTTATATTTCGGAGAGGGCTCATTGAACGCGACTTTATCTATCAGATAAGGGAGACCTTGTTCCTAAATTGCAACGGTACTTATGAAGTTAAATAAATTACGTTACAATATATATTAGGTAAAATATATTAGGTACTATTTATGGTGGATGCTGTACATCACTATTGTTTGTGTCTAGGCGATGGCTGTGAGCATTTTGTTTCTATTAGGAGTTGTCTTCCGTAGGCTCCACAAAGTTATTATCGTTGCAGTTCTGTACTTCTCGGACCTTAATAAAATTGAAAAGATGTTGTTTGGGAATATTTTTACAAGTATAATAATATAAAAAGAATCAAATAATAATACAAAATAATATAAGAATCACATGCACCACAAGTAATATTACAATATGCTAATGCCACAATCACAACTGGACGGCTGCAGATGAAACAGTGTTTAAGATACAGAGAATATTTGACGAAATAAACAAGATTTTGTTTTATCTCGTTGCTAAACAATAAGGTATGTGGTTTCTGAGAGTGTTGGACATATACGATAGAAACAATTACCCAACATACACATGAGACAATCATCTTCGTTCTTTATAGTCTGGTTTTGGTATATTCTTCAGTAGAGTATTCGGCAATTTCAATCCTCTATTCTAAAGAAAATTTTTCGATGTCCTTTCAGATATTTTCTCATGATCGGAAAGCACGCTGGCATCTGGTCTTGCCGATCAATTCCAATCATTCCTTTGTTGTATTCAATGACACATTTTGGTTCCGAAGTACGATTGAATCGATTTGTGCCTTGTGCAGTCATTTCTACTGTTTCGTGTTTTGTAGACATAATATACACATCTCGTTTGTCTTTCTACTTTAAAGCCAGTATTCCATTATTGTTTCTCATTCTATATTCTCCCCTTTTTACTCTTGCTTTACAGAAATCTTTTGGCATGTTCTTTCTATTAGAACGTACTGTGCCAATGACATTAGTTTTATGATGGTGTGATATTGTCATAAATAATTCTGGTGAAGAGTACCAATTATCTACGTACAATGTGTGTCTTTTGTGTTCTTTGACCATGCTTTCAGAAGCGCTATAATCACAATTTATTTATCACGGCCTGTATATATTTTAAAGTTGTAACAATAACCATAATCTAACACACAAATTGTAAAATTTAATGCCGAATCTTGCCCTTTTTGATGGATTAAATTGTTTGTAAAACACGCGTCCCTTATATTTCATGAGCGATTCATTGATAGCAATGGCTTATTTTATTGTATATACTTGTTTAAATTTTTCATTAAAAAAATCGATCACAGATTTTAGTTTACTTAATTTATCTGTACTGTTGTCACCCATATTATTATTTGCAAAATGCAAACATCTGGCAATTTGCAGAAATCTTTTTTTAACGGTATCGTTTTTCGAAATATAGGTGTTTCGATAACGGCCCTCTTAGACCAATTCATTTGAATCGTTGGTTTTTTCACCTGAGCCATTATTACGGATAATGCAAAATATATTTTGATTTCGTTACAATCCACAGGAAACCAATTCTTGTTGATTGTTCGTATTTTGTTTGAATTGGTTTTTATTTGTTTCGCGTATCGATTAGTCTCTGTTACAATATTCTCCCAGAACCGACTATCAAATATTATATTAACCCCTTGGCCTACGATTTAACTCGGAAGAAGCCGTGTTCAAACGAATGCACCCGAATTTCCCGGCCGGAAAAGGAGCCGAAGCGGAATTTGAAACACATCTTACGTTTGAGAACGGGATAGATTCTTGTGAAATTCAAATGAATTTGAATCAAAAACGTTTAAAAAATATTTTAATTAGTGCATATGATTGGCAGCAAGTCCTGTATAAGTAGTAATAATATGATTAATTAATAGCGGAATACAGATAAGTTGAAGCATATCCACGGCAGTAATATTTGAACTGAGAATAAATTTTCAGATCATGTCACAATCACCAGACCTAAAAATGAAAAACAAAATATAAATAAACAATTAAATAATAAAGAAACTATATTATCGAAGAATACTCACAAGTATAAAGATTAATAAATCTGCGTGTTATGGTATTTTATAAAACATTCCGGTACGTGCAAATTGCTACCTTACATTTTGTGCACTCGCAGGTCGTTTCGCTCCGGTTCTTGTGTTTGTAACAAACTTTACACGCTCTAGTTGGGTGTTGCTTTCTAGGCATTGCATCAATATGCTTCGCGAAATCAGCCCAACATTGTGCTTGTAATCGTAATGGTGTTAGATTTTCTGCGGATTTCCCGCGTCTTGTATAGTCAGGTAGCTGTATATATTTTAAAATAGCCTCGGCTATATTTATTTTATAATTCACATATGATTGTGTTCCTGGATCATGTAATTGTCTTTTCATAATATATGTATTGAATAGAGCCATGTCAGACACGTAAAAAAATAGTTTTTTATAACCCTTGAGGAATCTCATAATGGGGAACAAGCGAATATCATTGATGAAGATCACCGGCTAAATGGAAAGCTCCATATTGTTTTAAAAGGTGTAAAAAAGGATTGCAAGGTTTCCTCTGACCGCAATAAGCCTGGTGGTAGACGCGAAATCACATATTATTGCGATACGTGCCCTGACAAACCGAGGATGCATCTTGGGAATTGTTTTATAAAATACCACACAAAACCGAATTATAGAATATAATATTTAACA